TGAGCTTAAGATAATGCTCTTGCTATGGTCTGAATGTTAGCACTTTCCCAAAGTTCCTGTGTTGGAACCTAGTGCTCAAGGTGATGGGGTGGGGGAGGGAGTTGGGGGAAGGGTTTGGGAAATGATTAAGTCATGAAGGCTACACTCTCTTGAATGAGATCAATGCCTTCACAAAACAGGCTGGAAAAAAAAAAAAAAAAAACAGGCTGGACCGAGTTCCCTTGCTTCTTCTGCCACTGAGGACACACAGAAGTTGTCATCTAAGAACTGTCCCTCACCATACAGTGAATCTGCTGATACCTTGAGCAGCGATTCCAGCCTCTAGAATTGTGACAAATTTCTGTTGTTTATAAATTATTTCACCTAAGGTATTTTTTATAGTAGCCTAAATACACTAAGACAATTCTGAAGGAGAGTCATGGACCCAGAAGTAATTGTGTTTCCAGAAATGCTTTTAAGAGCATGGCCTTCATTAAAATCCTCAGCATTATGCCTTCACAACTGTTTCCTTTGGAGAAACTGTCTGGGCCATGAAAGAATGTAGATCTTCTCTTGGTTAAACTAATGGGATCATTAACAAATGTTTTTCTATAAAACTGCCAGATTTGTTCCAGTCGGCCATGCTGTGTTAAAAAAAAAAAATCTTGTATGCTTTGTTTCAAGGACATTTGCTCTGGAGGCTAGAAGACAGGACCAAGTAATTAAGTCCTGTGTTAGCATAAATGGCCATGGCCTGAAGGAATTCCAGAACCCACACATGCTCCCAAGTAGATCGTGGATCACACAATTAATATTACAAAATGGCCAACTGTGTGTTTATGTTGGCCAGGAATTCTGCCTCTTTGCTTGCACTTTTCTGAAGGTGTCTCTAGTTAGCGAGCAGAGTTTTATGAACTTTTGAAAATAAGTTTCTTATTTTCCTCTACATAAAATATAGTTATATACCTTTTTTTTTTTTTACTGTGGGGGACAGGGGTTAAGGGGGATAAAGAAAGGAGATGTGTAAAAAAAAGGGATTTTGGAAATCCTGAAAGGATGACCTCCTACAGCACTTGCCAGGTGGTAGACTTATTTGGCACTAAATATAGAAGGCTGCTCTAGATTTAACCATTTCGTGTGTGCATGTTTTGTCTCCCACCAACTCTAACCATTTGCTGGCACATCATTTTGTTTTGTAAAATCATGTAACAACTTTAGAATATAGTTAGGCAAAGTTTGAAAATTCAAATAATCCTAGAGAAGGGGCAGTAGGCAAAAACTAAGGGAATCTGATTAGGGCAACAATTTTAGCTACTAATAATATATCAATATTTTTGTTCATTTATTGTAACAAATGTGCCATAGCGACTTAAGATAATAATAACAAGGGAAACTGAAGGGAAACTGGGTATGGAGAATTTAGGAACTCTCTATAGTATCTTAATTTTTCAGTAAATCAAAAATTATTCTTTTTAAAATATGTATTTATTTATTTGAAAGGCAGAGTTATATACACACCCCCCCACACCCCCACACCCCCCCCCACAGAGACAGAGAGACAGAGACAGAGAGAGAGAGAGAGACAGAGATATCGTCTATCCACTGGTTCACTCTCCAAATAGCCTCAACAGCTATGGCTGGGCCTGGCTGAAGCCAGGAACCAGGAGCCTCATCTGGGTCTTCTACATGGGTGCAGGGACCCAAGAAATCGGGCCGTCTTCCATTGCCTTTCCAGGAACATCAGCAGGAAGTTGGACTGGATGGAGCTTCTGGGACTCAGGCCAGTGCCCATATGTGATATGGGCACTGCAGGCAGCAGCTTAACCTGCTGCACCACAGCGTTGCTGACTCCATCAAAAATTATTCTAAAAATAATGCTCGTTTTAAAACAAGTAGCTAAAATTGAACTACAAAGGCGAAATGTATTCCTATTCTATAATTTCCTGCCTGTGTATTTGGCCAAGAAAAAATAATGTACATGTGCATCCAAAGATGTATGTGAATGCTTATAGCAGCTTTATTTGTAATAGGCCCAAACTGGAAATGCCTTAAATTTCCTTCAGCAGGTGAATGAATAACTTAACCATTGTATATCCATATAAAAATGAACTACTGATACACATAACAAAATGAACATACCTCAAAATAATTATAGTAAGTGAAATAATCCAGACAAAAGCAAATGCCTCCTGCTTATTTTTGCTTATATAAAACTCTAGAACAATCAGGCAGATTTATAGCAATAGGGATATCAGTGTTGTAGCAGAAGGGCAGGGGTGATGGATTTCCAAGGGACACCAGGATGACACCCAGGGACACATGGGGGTGATGGTTTCACAGGTGAATACATATATCAACCAACTCTTACAGATTGCATACTTTAAATTGAGAGTTGTTTATTTTATGTCAATTATACTCCCAATAAAGTTGTTTATTCTAAAAATTCCACTGAGGCATATACAAGACATGGGAGAAATAATTATCTCAGGCTCATTTAATTAGCACCAATTGCCAGAAAACAGAGCTCTAAGCTTTTTGATAGTGGACATTCTGCTACTATGTACCAGCCTACCCATCACTTGCCTTTTTGAGAAACAGTTTCTTGTTCTGAAAAATGAAGAGCGGCACTTAAGGTCTTTTACATGCAGGCAAATTGGTAATAATCCTAAAACACGTATCTTCTGAAGAAATTTAGTTGTATTAATTTCAAACAAATCTTAAAATTGCCTAATAAAATGTTAGTAATTAGGAACCTTAAATTTCAAATATTATTTGAATACTTAAGAATTATTTGTAGTATATCAATTATTTTTTTCTAAAAACCTGCTCTGTATGAGGCAATCAATTAGAAAGGTTTATTTTTAAAACCAAGGCTTTATTGAGATATAATTTACATACCATACACTTCTATTGAAATTGTACAATTTATTGCTCTTAGGTAATCTTGTTGTTAGCTTTCTAATTGTGCCATTCTTCCTCCCTATGTTCTTTTTCTGCATTCTTTTGGAGTAATCGGACATTTTTAAATAATTCATTTTATTTCCTCTTTTAACTTTTAGCCATGACTCTTAGACTGCTTTGATGATTGTAATTGCATCTTTATATTATCACAATCATTTTAATTTTTTTATTGTTCCTCTTTGCTTAGCCTCTCCTAGGATATTCACAGATAAGTACAACCAGAACCATGGCCACTTGATAATGTTTTCATCACCTCAAAAAGAAGTCCCAGACTACAAAGTGGGTACAGGGTTTCCTTTCAGGATGATGAAAATGTTCTGGGAGTAGATTGCTCATAGTCGTGGCTGCACAGCATTGGGATTTTACTAAATGCCAGTGAATTGTACATTTTATAATACTGCATTTGATGTTATGCTGTATTTTACCATCCGCAAAAGATAAGGCCACACTCTTTAGTTGTCACGCCCTATCACTCCATTCCCCACATCAGCACTAGGCAACCAGTACTCTACTTTCTGGTCTCCACAAATTTGTCTACTTTGGACACTTCATATAAATACAATCATTTTATATAGAGTCTTTTGTGACTGGATTCTTTGATTTATAGTAATATTTTTAATATTCAACCATATTATAGTGTATGTAAGTTCCTTTGTATAGTTAAATGATATTGCATTTATATGAATATTCTAGACTTGATTTATCCCATCATTAGTCGATAGACATTTAGATTGTGTCCACCTATTATTGAAAATGCTGCCATGAACATTCATGCACAAATTTTTGTGTGAATGTACACTTTGATTTTTCTTGGTTGTATACCTAGGAGGTACACTGCTATACTATATGGTAACTCTTTGCTCAACCATTTGAGGCATTGCTAGACTGCTATCCAAAGTGGCTGCCAGCAGCATGTGAGGTTTTCAACTCTTTTACATCCTCGCCAACATTTTTTTGTAATCTTTATTTTTTATAGCCATCGTAATGTTATGCAGTGGTATCAATGTGGTTTTGATTTGTATTTCCCTGATGACTAATGATGTCAAGCACATTTTCACGTACTACTTTCCCTAAATTATGCTTCTATAGTCAATATTTTGCATAGGCTCTCAAGGGATTCATGGGCCCTCAAATTTATGAAATGCTCAAGTAGAATTATTGGGTGGACACGTGGAAAGAAGTTGGCATAGAAGTGATTATAAATTATATTTAATCATAGTAAATAATGTAAAGTATACTTGTTTCACTTACATTACCATATATTCAATAAGAAAACTGAAAAAGCACATTCTAACATTAGTTGCAGTGAAATATTGGATTGACTTCCACTGCATGACTCTTAATGGGATGGAGGGCAGAAAGGCTAATTTCTGTACAAATAAGGGACACACTATCTCTGAAATCCAAAAGGAAACCTCACAGACTAAGTGATGTGGGAAAAGATTACCTATCTTGTATTTTTTTTTTTTTTTGGTACGAATTAGGAGGTACTGAATAGAAAGAGAAAAACAATTGAATCGATGTAATAGGAGAATGTGAAGTCTAAAGAGATGTGAAACTGAAGGGCAGTCAGTTTCAGGATGGGCAGTGGATGCTGGGAAAAAGAAATACTATTTGACCAAAGTCAACAGTTATTTTGGCTTAATTCCAGCTTACTATTGCCACTTAAGCTTTACACTCATGATATATGAAGGTTGTCTGTTGCCAGAGAGTAAATGATCATTTGTTAAGTGGCCTGAGGAGTCACCTGCAACATTCAGACCTTTACAGTGACTGGATGGGGTTAACAGTGATCAAAACTTTCAAAGGAATTTTCTTAGGTGGCTTTTAGAGGGTCACTAAACCCATATTCTTGGAATCTGAGAAAAACATCCATAGATTAGACACTTACATATTTGCATTTCTTCAGGTAGTTACCCTTTTCCTTCCCACCACATCAGCTTTTAGAGAATGGAATGATTTGGAGTTGCAATTAAAATCTTGGGTAGAATCCCTTCTCAAATGTTTCATTGCTCAACTGCAAAGACAGGAAGTAAAAATAAGCAATTCGAGTTCCATACCTTATTTCACCTTCTCTAATATGACCTGCCAGTTCTTCAATAAACTTCTCTCCTTTCATCCAGTAGATCATTGGTCCAGACTCTCCACTGAATCCAAAGAATGCTTTGCAAGGGATGTTCAGAGGTTTACCTGAGAATGAAAGAAAAAGAAATAAGCAAATTATTCCTGGTGTTCATTGGGAGACAGAATGGGACCGTTTAACACTAAAAGGAAAATTCAGAGATGACACACTTTGAACTCCTTTGTTAATCACCATTATACATGAGAAAAATCTTAAATTATTATAAAGTCCTCTTAGAAATTTAAAAATTCAAGGTATTACACAAATGAGCAAATAAGTTACTCAGTTTTTCAAATTAATTATTTGAGTGCCTGTGTGCATGTGAAAAATAAATATACTATCTGCTGGTTTATTCTCTAAATATCTGCAATGGTCAGGGGGCTAGGGCTGAAACTGGGAGCCAGGAAAATAATCCAGGTCTCCCACATGAGTGGCATGAAACCAATTACGTCTGATATCACTGCTGCCTCCCAGAGTCTGTACTAGCAGGAAGCTGGGGAACCAAGTGACATAGAGAATTGAGTCCAGATACTCTGATATGGAATGCAGGAGTCTTAACCACTAGGCTAATTGCCCACTCAATAGAACTTTTTTTTAACTGCCTCCCTCCTAGGGACTAATGGAAAATAATCAAATAGAAAGAATTCCTTTTTCATCTTCCTTTTATTGATAGTATAAAGCACTGTTTACTTGAATCTGCCCTTAAAGTTGACATTAATCAAAAGTATAAGTTAATTTTTGATAAGTGGGAAGACATGTCATAATACACTATCTACTATTACTGACATTTCACAGGGAAAGTTGGTTTCTTCTGATTATTATCTATTTTAAGAAAAGTTGCATAATAAAACTTGTGCTATTTAATTATAGGTGTCAAATGGATAAGGGCTGTCTAGATAGCTGATAAAACATTTCTGGGAATGAGGGTACTTTCAGAAGAGATTGGCATTTGACTTGATGGGCTGAGTGAGCATTATCCAGTTGGCTGAGGTTCAAGATAGAAGAAAAATGGAGAGGAAGTTCAAATTTGCTTGTCTTCCCTCTTCTGGAGCTGGTAAACCCTTCTTCTGCCCTTGCACATTCACTTGAACTCCAGGTTCTCTGGGCTTTGGATTTCATGGTTTGCACCAGATGCTCCCACGGTTTTTGTGCATTTGGCCTTAGACTGATAACTACATCATGAACTTCTCTGGTTCTGAGGCTTTATGATTTGCACTGCGCCACATTAAAACTTCCCTGGCTTTCTAGCTTGGAGTGGCCTATTGTGAGACTTCTCAACCTACATAATCACATGAGCCAGTTCCCCTATATTAAACCTGCTTTCTTCTATGTATGTATGTATGTAGAGTAATAGTTTCTGGGGCCGGCCTTATGGCATAGTGGGTAAAGCCATATAGTCACTGGTTCAAGTCGCAGCTGTTCCACCTCCAATCCAGCTCCCTGGAAATGGCCTGGCCTGGGAAAAGCAGTGGAAGATGGCACAAGTGCCTGGAATCCTGCCATCCATGTAGGAGACTGGACTGAAGCCCCTGGCTCCTGGCTTCAGTCTGGCCCAACCCTGGTCTTTGCGGCCATCTAGGAATTAAACCAGCGGATGGAGGATCTCTCTCTGTCTCCCTCTCCCTCTTTCTCCCTGTAACTCTGCCTTTCAAATAAATAAATAAATCTTTAAAAAAAGAACATTAATTTCTGATTCTTAGGAAAATTTTAATATACAAAAGAGACAATTTTTTATTACAAATATATCAATAAAAAGTACATACAGGGAAAATTCAGTCTTACAATCTCATCTATATTTTTAGTGTTACAGTGCTTAAATAATTCTAGCTAACATTAAGCACTTTTAAAAATTATTTATTTATTTATTTGAAAGGCAGAGTTACAGAGAGGCAGAGAGAGAGAGAGAGAGAGAGAGAAAGAGAGAGAGAGGCCTTCCATCCACTGATTCACTCCCCAGATGGCCACAATGGCCAGAGCTGCACTGATCCAAAGCCAGGAGCTGGGAGCTTCTTCTGGGTCTCCCACGTGGGTGCAGGGACCCAAGGACTTGGGCCATCTTCTACTGTTTTCCCAGGCCATAGCAGAGAGCTGGATCAGAAGTGAAGCAGCCGGGACTCAAACCAGCGCCCATATGGGATGCTGACACTGCAGGTGGCAGCTTTACCTGCTAAGCCACAGTGCTTGCCCCAACATTAAGCACTTTTATTATGAATTTATGTGATTATAGGGAACATCTATTTGAATTGTACATTTTCAATCAAAAATATCAGAAACTATTTTTTTGCTGGGATTGATTTTTTTTCTCACAAAGTAGGTAAAAAAGGGAATAGTGTGGAGCACACTATCTTGGCATTTCTGACTCTTGTAGGAATCCCCCAATCGTAAACCAAATTATAGAATATCATCATTTTCTCAATAACATGCATTTTTTACCTCAGTGAGAGAATTAGATAAAGCAATCTCAAAAATATGCTTTCCTCATGGAGTTTATGGTGGACTTGTTTCCATCATCACTCTAAGCCATGGACAATTTATGCACTTAAAATGATCCAAAACTTCTATGTTCTAGCAACACTATTTTCTGAAATCAATACTCTTTAATCACCAGAACAAAGAGATGGCTTTCTTTGAGAACCATTTTCACAAAGAAACAATTTAAAGTGAGTTAGTGTGTACATTAAGACACAGTAGAGATTAAGAAAACCTTATATAGAATGGTGTTTATCAGAGGCTGAGGAAAGTGGGGGAGGAAGGGATGAGGAAAATTTGATTAATGGCTAGTAAGTTATGGTTAGATAGCAGAACGAAGTTCTGGTGTTCTATTGCACAGTTGAATGACCACAGATAATGATAGTATACTGTATATTTTTTTAAAAAGCTAAAAGAAAGGATTTTATATAATTTTATGTATCAATTACAGATAAACAGAAACCAAAAACCTCATAGGTACATGGTTGTTGGGTGATAGACTGGGCTTACTCATAGTAAATGATTTGTTGCCAAATATTACTTTTATTGAAGTGCAGATTTCTCCCTCAGCAAAATGACATTTTGTAGACTTTTTGATCATTCTGTAATTGTCAATATCAAGAGTCTGTCTCACATGTCTGACACAAATCTGAAGCAAAGCTGTTTATTGTAGCTTTGAACATGTGCTCTGTCACATAAGGCTGTATAAAAATGGCAGCCTTGTTTAGTGGAAATTGCACTAAACCTAGAATCAAGAAACTTGTGTCTCAGTTTTAGATCTATCAAGAACAAGCAGACTAGGGAAATTACCCACATTTAGTAAAGTGATTACTCATAAATGTAATGAGGATAGTAATAATTCTCGAGGGGCTCATTTAAGGCAATATACGATACAGTGACTGGTGTACTCAATAGCCCCACCAACATCTAGGATAGAATTATTTTCCTTATGAGGCTTGGTCATCCAAGTAGGAGTCAAATTTGAGGCAGAATCTGGTGTAGATATTGATAACAGACACATGTGATTTTGGCCCTGTCAATCTTGATTTCTTTTTTAAAACAAAATTATTTGAGACACAGACAGAGATCTTTCATTTGGTGCTTTACTCCCCAAATGCCCAAAAGAGCTTTGGCTGGACCATCCTGAAACCAGGAGCTTGGAACTGCATCTGGGTTTCTCTCCCATGTAGGTGGCAAAGACCCCCAAGATTTTGAACCATCACCTGAAGCCTCCAAAGGTGCACATTATCCACATTGTCAGAAAGCTGAAATTGGGAGTGAGACCAGAACTTGAACTCAGTCATTTTGATATAAGATAGAGATGTCTCAAATGGTATCTTAACTGCTGCACCAAATTCCCATCACCATGTCCTTTTATGTATGGGCTCCCATGGGGTAATATTCCTCTCCTGTCAACTTCATGTATTTTCTTTTGGATTCCAGAGTAGGTGTGATTCACCCTAGCAAACCCTCAATTCTTTAAACCCAAACAGGGTTTTTTTTCCCCTGTGCCTCACTGCCCCTCGTTTCCAGTAAAACAAAGGTATTAAGGAACAACACAAAAGATGGCAGAAAATAAAGATACTGTGATAAACATTATTACAGGGAATCCCAGTTGATAAAGCTACCATTCTCTATATTGGGACATATATGTTTAGGCTGTCATTCCTTTGGGCTCTGTTGAGACAATATATCAAATAAAATACCATTTAGTGAATCCTAGCATGTGGGTGCTCAGGCTTGGTTTGATTTTAATGGAGAAGGACGATTATAGCAATGTGCAAAAAAGTCCTCCTCAAGGTGGCCTATCAAAAGTGACAGAATCTGTCCTTTTCTTAGCATTGCATGCAAAATACTATTGCACTGATTTCTGTTGAGAGGATGGTTCTCACTCTTCCATCAGACAGGTTGTTGTTAAAGAAATTCAAGAGACAGATATTTCAGCAATGTCATTTCTATAAATGCTGAATAAATATCCTGAAGCCATGTGTCAAGGAGTAAAAATAGGAAAAGCATCCAACTATCCCCTGCAACACACGGAGGGGAGTCTCCAAATGGTTAGCTCTTATACCAGGTGGTGATGCTCGGTGTGTGCCAGGGACTGGGCACTTCCTCTACTAAAAAAACAAGAAGGCTCTCTGCCTAGGTCAGGCAAATCATCTGAAACAGAATCTCTCCAGTCATTTCTAAAATCTGGCTTATGTGCAAACTCCTATCAACCATTTGCATCTGTTTGTTAGTGTTCTCTTTTGCCTCTAGACCTTTTCAAAGTCATTCCTGTGTTACTTTATGTCCTATCAGTACTCTGAACCAATTTATATTTGTATCTAAAGGAGGCTAAAGATTATCAAAGTAAAAAGAACTTTGGGAGTTGGTATGTCATTGCTAGGGAATGAGGTAAGTGAAGCTTGCTGGGAAATGACATGCATGGAGTGGATTGGCTCTACTGCCCCCCATAGTCTCCTAATTCTTTCTCTTTGAGAGCTCTGTGAATATCTGCCTTACCGGAAGTTTCCTAGAAACCTTAGAAAGCTAGACATCTCGACAGACTTGAATTTTTTACAGACATGTATTTGCTAGACACTTGTGAAATGGATAA